TCCAGTGGCCCTAATCCTCTTCCGTAAAAAAAGACGTGAAAAGATAAATATGTAAAACCTAAGAAAACTTTTTTGATGAAAGGTTTTTCAAATTTTTTTTTTTTTTTTTTTTTTTTGGATTGCATAATTTAAAATTGTGTGTCACAGATCAGACTCTCTTCACCCTAAACCCAATAAAAACATTCTCTCCCGTGTTTATTTCTTACTCCAGAGGAGACCTGAAAAACACAAAAAATAAAAAATAAATAAAAAAAATCTCATGTGTAAAACCAAGTTTGAAATTTTAATAATTTGAAAAATATAAACTGAAAATACAAGGTCTGTTAAAAAAAAACAACATAAAAAACAATAGATTGAATAGAAACATTTTTTATTAAAAAATAAATATCAAAACAACGGAAAACTAATTTTGAAAAAACAAATTGCGAAAAGAGGAAAGTTATTCCAGAACTTTTTTGATAAAGAAGTTTTTCAGTTTCTTTTCTCTTTACAAAAATAATGGAACACAATTGTCTCCATACCCTGGTTGGTTATTTAATGACACTTCCCCTTTAAGACGGCCTCCGCTTTAACGTACCTGTGTCGACCTCACCTGGGCAGCACTTCCGCTCAGTGACGCAACTCAGTGGGAATCGGAACCAGAGCGACCTGGACCTGAACTGGACTAAAGCCAGAACCAAGAGACGTTTCCGATCAGGTATGGATGGTTTCAGTGGGTCGGTCTGTGACGGACCTGCTCTCTGCTCCTGAACGTGACGTCATACTGTAAACACGGGGCCTGTTGGATCCTCGGCGCATTTTATTCACTGTTTCCTACCTTTAAACCAACCAGGTGGTCTGTTTAGGCCCGGTCGGACTTCGCTGATGGTTCATTGCGTTAAACAAAGTTAAAACTTGATGTGTTTTTTTTTATCCTGTTGTTTTGATCCTGGTTCTAAACTTAAGTTTAGTCCTGCTGACATCTGACTGGTTCTGGGCCCTGATCCAAACAGAGAATGGATCAGGATATGAGCAGACTGAGCCAATTAGAGGGAATTATTCTTTTAATCATTGAGTCCTAAAATGGTTCAAGACGCCCCCTGCTGGAGGGTGCAAAGAAGCAGGGACATAAGGGGTGAGAGGAGGGGGCCAGGGGCCCTGGTGGGGTCAGATTCATTCACACTGCTTATATAAACTCTTAGGAATATCGACCAAAGCTCATCTAGAAAGATCCCAAAAGAGGATTAATTTCATATCCATACAGACTCTAGGCCTGGTTATCCTTCTGCAGTAGTGTGTTGCAGGGAGCTTGATGCAGATATTTTTGATTTATGCTCAATATTGAAGGATGGTCTGCGCTGTTATTCCACATCACAACGCCAGAGGGACATTCAGGAACTAGCTGTGGGTCTAGATACGGCCGAGGCGGTGAGGAAGTGGGGGCAAGTTTGTGTGAC